TTATCTTTTTGATATAAATTTGAGCAAAAGATTGCATTCTAGATATACAAAAAAATAATATTACTGTGCTAGAATGATGATGCAAACATAAATTTATCATCATTTGAGTGACGATGTGAGCGTAAATTTATCGTCATTTATCTATTCTGATATGAATTTGGGTAAATAAATGCATTCTAGATAGAAATCATTGATTTGACGATACAAAAGCAAATTTATGATATAGGTAACAAAAATTGTGCCAGAACTCCTAAAATACTCCTGCTCAAGATAACGCCTATATAAATAACATGCATAAGTTCAAAATAATATGCAGGTGGGTGATAAAATGGTAACAACATTTGTCTTGAGATTGAATCTTTATGATCAATCAGGTTGAGTAAATAATGCAAAATTCCAATTACATATCTTTTATTTATACAACTTTACTTAAACAAGAAAATCCATACAATCATGCTAGCACTTAGTGTTGAAACAAGTATGATGAGGAACTGAACATTGATAATCATAGCCTGTTCATTAATCCCCAGTTAAATAATAAAGCTGCAATAATTAACGATTCTAAATTCCAATTACATATCTTTATTTATACAACTTTTACCTAGTGTTGAAAAAAAGTGCGATGGAGGAACTGAATGCCAATGATCATAGCCTGTTCTTTAATCAGGACCCCGAGCTATACATAGATAGGTTAGATCCAAGTTTGCTTATTTTTGTATAAAATTTGCTTCAAAAATGCTTATTTTTGACCAAAACTTAAAAATTTACTATGTAAAAAAGCTATATTTATTGAATTTCTATCAAAAATTTCCTTTTTTAGTAACCTCTAACCTATCTATGTATAGCTCGGGGTCCTCTTTAATCCCCAGTTTAATAATAAAGCTGCAATAATTAATAATTCTAAATTCCAATTACATACCTTTATTTATGCAACTTTCATCTAGTGTTGAAAAAAGTGCAATGAGAAAACTGAATGCTGATGATCACAGCCTGTTCATTAATCACCAGTTAAATAATAAAGCTGCAATAATTAACAATTCTAAATTCCAATTACATACCTTTATTTATGCAACTTTCATCTAGTGTTAAAAAAAAGTGCAATGAGAAAACTGAACGTCGATGATCATAGCCTGTTCATTAATCTCCAGTTTAATAATAAAGCTGCAATAATTAATGATTCTAAATTCCAATTACATACCTTTATTTATGCAGCTTTCACTTAGTGTTGAAAAAAAGTGCGATGGTGAGCTGAACGTTGATGATCGTAGCAATAATTAATGATTCTAAATTCCAATTACATACGTTTTATTTATGCAGCTTTTACCTAAATAAGAAAATTAAATCTGCACTTAACTATTTAAGTAGTGCTGAAAACAAGTGCGAAGGTGGACTGAGCGCTATAATTATAGCATGTTCGTTAATCCTGGTTTAGTAATAAGCTGCAATAATTAATGATTCTAAATTCCATTACATACCTTTTATTTATGCAGCTTTCACCTAAACAAGAAAATCACACTTGCACTTAACTATTTAAGTAGTGCTGAAAAAAGTGTGAAGGTGGACTGAGTGCTGTAATTGTAGCCTGTTCGTTAATCTCTAGTTTAGTAATAAGCTGCAATAATTAGTGATTCTAAATTTTAATTACATACCAATATTTATGCAGCTTTCACCTAAACAGGGAAATCCATACAATCATGTTTGCAAAATTCCATATCCCATTGATCATCTGAGTAATAATCATCAACACAATCGATTGATTGTGATGAAAATAAGTGCTTATATTATATTAAAAATTTGATCTGATTTATTATTTTTCATATAAAAGATTATTTGATGCTCTTAAGCATAGTAGAAGCATTCACTACAACACAAATACAATCGCAATTGGTAGTGATGATCATCACTTGAATGATCAATAGGGTATTTGCAATCATGATAAACCAAAATACGATGGTGAATTAAATGTTGATAATTGTAGACTGTTTGTTAATCCTGAAGCTGCAATGCAACAAATAATTAATGATTCTAAATTCCAATAAATACTTTTCATTTATGCAACTTCTACCTAAACAAGAAAATCATTAGCACTTAACCATTTAAGTAGTATTGGTGAAAGTTACATACCAACCATAAATAATTATACCCAATTAGGACCTTTATCTAAAAATAATCCCAATAATAATCAATAAGTTAATAGTCAAACTTGGAAATTGACTAATTGCTTCAAATAATGTGTCTGTACATACTTTAAAAAGCACACAGATACTCAGAATAACATGCATTTGGCATATATTATTTCGCGATTTTACAGTAATCACACCTTCAATTATTGATTTAATTTGAAATGCAGTGTATCACTGTTTATAAAATGCTAAAGGATAAATAATATTAATAAAAGATTAATCATATACCTTCTCAAACTATTATATAAGGCCACACTCCTTCCTTTGTCTGTTTATTAATTTGTCTATTCGAATTAAAAAAAAAATAATCGCATAAATTCTCTTTCTTTCACTAATTTGCCTATTCGAATTAAAAAAATAGTTAATTATATAAATTCTCTTTCTTTCACCAATTCACTTATTCATTATTTCATTATCTCTAAAAATTTGATAATGTCATCTCACTTGTCTGAAAATTCTTCTGCCTTGTCCTCCCAACATTCTCTTATGGTTCAATAAAAAAAAAGATGGGCTTATGAATATCTCAGCAAATTTGATAGCTTTGAAACTTTTAATCTCTGCGATATATGTGAAAATTCCTTAAAATCAATTGCTAAAGAATGTCGTGTAAAGTTATTAAATCGCAACTTATTGTGATAGATTGTAATTAGGAATTAACCTTTATCAACCGTAGAAGACAATTCCTTCAGTAACTTCATTTCTACTCTTGACCTGCATTATAAAATCCCCTGCTCTCAAACTCTTTCTGAAAATATTGAAAGACAATTCGAATCAGCAAGAATAATTGTAAAAGATTTTTTAAAAAATAACAAAAGCAAACTGTCCCTT